AAAAAAAAATTTGGTTTTTATTTTAAAAATGAAGTGGTGGTATTTCTAAGGGATACTTCTTCAATGGTATAAATATAACTTACAAATCTTAACCATTCTATGCCTCATCATTGAAGACAGTGTTTTTCGTGACTCATTAATTATTATGCCATGCATATTCCGGGGAGGGGTTTTAACGCTTGCAAATTGAAATATGGTTATWACTTATAWAAGAAGGTACCTATATATATTTTATAGAAACAGAATATGGTAAACAATAATAACTATAATATGTTAATATTATCCTTGTTTTCCGTAAAGTACGCATTGAAAAAAAAAATATTCGCTTCATCAAGTGAACTGAAAAGGAAAGATTGGTTGGAATATGCAGATGATAAGTACAATACACATGAAATATCTGATTTGAGGTCAGCGTTGGAYRTTATATATTTGTTAATTCCAATTCCATTGTTTTTTACACTTTTTGATCAACAAGTAAGTTTTTCGTTTTTGTTAGTTAAAAAACAAAATTAATAAASGCAATCTTTACATATTTGCATATGGTCGAATAGTCGGCACATAATAATATATAATTTAACGTGTAACGTGTAATGTTGTAGCGTGATGTACCCAGACCTTATATAAGGTCGTTAATACAATAATATATCCCATAACCGTAATAATCTTTAAAACTAATTGATAATGTAAATGTTCAAGACGTTATTTCTTCAAAATCGTTTTCAGAAATATTATTGTTTGTACTTTGCCTTTTACTAGGTATATAATATTTGTACCAYAACATGGCCAACGATGAGAGGTTATACCMCCTCACGGCTTTAGCCCCCTTGGATACGCCACTCTTATAATCTGTGTTCTAATATTTATTAGATTAGGTAATGAATTCAGAAAAAAATCTTTCGATTACATTTTTCAAGAGCCAAGACTGTGATAATTTTTATGTGGTATTATATATATGATCCACTCCCTTAAAATTGTTGATTCTTCTGAATACAAATGTAAAAAAACTAAACAAATGTAAATGTCATAATGCATATTTGGTAAATTAATTTAATTTTTAGAGTTCTCGTTGGATCTTACAAGGAACACTAATGAATGGCAAAATCRATTTTTTAAATTGGATTATAAAACCTGATCAAATTCATTTAATTAACCCATTGTTAGTTTTAGTATTTATACCAATTTTTAATTCTGTCGTCTATCCACTTTTGTATAAAATTGGAATAAATACAGCTTTTCGAAAAATCATCCTTGGAGGAATGTTTGCTGCACTATCATTTGTATGTGCTGCAGTTGTCCAATACATGATAATTGTAAGTACTTATTAGTTATTATAATAATTGCATTATTTACTTTTTGACTATTCAATAAAAATGTTAATAAATGTTTAATTGCAAAATATGGAAATTTTTACAGAAAATTTWAATTTTTATGCAAATTCTGTTTGACCTGATCAAAATTGTATTAAATTTCAAGATAGTCAAAGTTTTTGATTTTCTTGGAATTAATAGTTATATTAGCAAACTAAAAAAAAAAACGGATTGCGTTCATTCAAATCAAATTCTATTAAAATACCCACTTACTATTGTATACGAATTGTTAAATAAGTAGACCTCTTAGAGGTTTGATTACAATAATCTTAGGTAGGTACCATTTTTTACCCAKCAGCATTAAAATGTTAATTTAGAGAAAGAACTGAACTATGGAACCGGGTATATTTTCTAGTATTATAAATAAAAATTTATTTCAAATTCATACAACTAACTTAATAAGAAATTATAGCTATCTTCATATATTCACGGTCTGCCGATAAAAATGTGTGGTCTATCGACCACCATAATAATAACTATTATAGGATAGTTTGCGACTTACCCACTTACCTACATAAAATATTTAAAAAACATGAATTTTAATTGGGATGCAAAACTGTAATTTAGATTGTTTTTAATTTACTTTTAAATTTATACATAAGACATAACTATTACATGTAATTTTTCTCAGGAAATAGGTAGGTGTTAAATTTATAGTTAACATTTTAAAAAGAGTGTTTTTATAGGGTCAAACATTTTCCATACCGTCAGACGTTGGGCAATTAAGAATATACAATAATTTTGATTGCGATGTATCCATATCCAGTTCTTTGGCTGGAAACTTTAATATTGAAAAATTAGATATACTTCATATTAATTATAATTCAACTGTATTAAATGAAACAGACATCTTATTCATAGATTTACATCCTTCGTGCAAATTGAAAATGAGTATGAAACAAAATGTTTTCATCGATAAAGGAATGGTTAGATTTATAATGATTTTACCATAAACAWCTTTTGGTATTTTGGCCACTAACTAATCAATTGTAAAAAAATATATTAAYTTTTTAATTTAAGATTTCGTCATATTTGCTAATGTCTAAAAATAATGCTGATATTGAATTGAAACATTTAAAGGAATTGAAGAAATTAAAGAACGGAAATTCAAATCTTAGGTAAATATCTAAGAGATATTATGGATTTTGGCTATAGAGTAATAATATGTAAACCGTCAAATATCTCAACTTTTAATACATTATTTACCAGCATATTGGAATTACCAATTAGTGTATCATAGTACTATATTCACATTATTAACTATACACAATAGGTACAGTAGGTACACATAGTATTTTAATATTTAGTTTAATCAATAATAGTATGATAATATTATTATTAAAATTTATAGGATTTTGCATGATAACTTCTTCAGCCAAAATATTACATTAAGGAGTACTAATAATAAATTGTCTGAAATAAGTTTTGAACTTTCAACGAACCAAGATCAAAATTATGAATTACCTGTCGGAACGTAAGTATTACCTAATAATTAAACTTCATCATATATTGTGTAATTATGTACGCTTTACTATTGAATTATTTGAGTGTCATATTTATGCTTATTTTAGTTATGATGTATACTTGGACGATGAATCAATTTTGCAAAATGTCGAATTTCTCCCTGGCAGTATTAATGACCTATTATTTCACGATAACTTTAACCACGTGGTAACTAATTTAAATTGATGGGTAATATAAAAATAAATTGATTGTTATAAGTCGTATTGTTTGAAATTTTAGAAAGCCAAGTTGATCACTTTTGAAAAAGGTAGATATATCCATATYCTATGGCAAGTTCCGCAAATAATTTTGATTACAGTATCTGAAGTAATGTCTCTAATTACATTAATGGAATTCGTATTCACCCAAGTAACATAATTAATTATTTATATTTTTTATCAAATAAATACTTCAAGGGATATTAATTATGTAAAGTAGGAATAGTAGGATGGTAGATATCTATACAGATCTCTCGATAATGGAGTGAAAGGAAAAAAGGCATATCTAATTATATTGAATTCAATTGTTGTGAATTTTTATTTATTATATTAACATATTTATGGTTTAGCTAGGAACCTTAATGTTCTATGCTGAATGCTAATATTAGTATTAGTTATTATCTAATGACTAATTATATAATCAATTTTTAGGCTCCATTAAGTATGAAGTCATTGCTTTCAGCAGCCAATTTGTGTACAGCGGCAGTTGGAAATTTACTTATTGTTTTTATTTCGAAAATCGGACTTTTTGAAAACCAAGTATGAAAAGTGATGATTWTTAATTGTATTATTAAGAAAACGTTTTAATCTAATTTTTTTTAGGTTCAAGAATTCCTATTTTATGCAGCCTTAATGGTTTTGGATATGATACTTCTTATGGTTATGAGCTCCAAATACAAGTATAAATGTGTAAACAATCAATGAATCTAAAGAATAATAAACAACAAATTTTAATTTATCAAAATGAAAGACGTAGTTTCATATGCACCTAAATACTATTTTAACTATATTTTAAATAATTAGTAAATACAAATCTATATAATATATTTTAAATGTTTTTTTAACGACTAGAAACCATGCAATATTTTTTAAAAAACATCAAAAGAATCACCCATCATAGGAAATCATAGGAAATATATGGATATATATTTATTATTAGGTATTAGGTATTTTATTTTTCACGCATATTCATTTTAATAGTATCGGTGTATGTTTTTGTTAAGGTTTGTATAACATTTGTGTAAAATCTACAGTATTAAATATATGATAGATAGATGGACTATTTTCATTTAGAGACATAATAATTAATAATTTAACAGTCGCAAGCCAACTAGTGAAGCCACAAGCTATTTAAATGGGTTTGGTTGGGTTTAGTTGGGATTAGTGAGGCTTAATCTAATCTAACTAACTGCATTAGTCGGTATTATTATATAGATTTAAATTAATTCAATAACTGCAGCTCCATCTACTGCCGCCAAATCATTTTGAACTCTAAGAGCGTACAGGAAGAACTAGCCATCACARCTGCTCAATTTCCTAGCAAGATTAGGCTGCCATATACKATTTAAAAATTTACAATGATGTGGATATGGGTGAAGTTTCATCAGGTTAATTTTTAGGGAAACTTATTGAAGAGCTTCAGCTCCTGCCCACCCTCTTCAACAACATGCTTATGAGTTATGAATAAAAACACAAGAAGTAAAAATACAAAAAWTATTTTATTAGTTATTTATTTWTTTTYTTAATCRAAATATATTAGAATCTTATACTAATCATATTAATCAAGGCCTTCTTTTTTCTCCCTTAAAGCTTCCTAAAAAAATAAATAAAATAATAAATGTTAGTTATAATAATTATATAAGTATGTACAAAGCAATGTTATGTTTAATAGGATTATTGGATATTTTAAATTGTATCTATTCTGAAAAATAATAATTTGTCAAAATATTATGAATGAAGTGATTTTCAAATAAAACAAATTGTCCCGTAAAACCATGTATTTCTGACTAAAGAATGTGCATACACGTTAATAGGGTCCTCAGATTCATAGGGCTTCACTCAATAAAGAGTGGGAGATTCATATTTCATCCACAACATAACATACACATGATTTTATCTTTGATACCATTCAAAACTATCACAAAATAAATGTTAATTCATGAATTGTATAATTGTATATAAACATATTATAGTTATAATTCATATATCATTTTCTTTCAGTATAATATAATTAAGTCTGTTTTGTTATAATCTAAAAACTTTATCAATACGTTAATTGAGTCTTGGAGTATGTTTATTATGTATTAATTAGTTAATAAATTATCTGTATATTTATTTATTCAAATTAAGAAGCATATTTTAAGGAGGGCTTRAAATGGCTCAGAGTGGGCTAAGTCAACCCCTATTTGTATCCACGGATATGTGGATCTAAGTACTATGTGCATTATACAAACTCATAGAGAATACTTTTTTCACAAGTTCAAGCTTGTCCTAGCTTTTTCCAGCACTTTAAATCAATGTTGAAGGCAAATATTATTATACAAAAATATAGAAAAAAAGAGATGCGCGTAATGGTAGATAATGTTAGTTATGTTCAGAAATGTTACAATAATTATAAAATAATAAGTACAACCTAATAAAAATAAGTTTATCAGTCTTTTTTTGTCGAAGAATATTCAATGCCATAGGTATTGTATCCAAAACTATTTACATAGGTAGGTAGCTCAAAAATTTTAAATTAATTMATTAAAGATATTATACCTTGAAACGTTCTTCAAACAAAGAAAGTTCAGCCAAGAGATCAGTTATAGAATTAGTTAAAGCATCTTGAGGTGTATAATCAGATGTTGTTTGTATGCGAAGTTCAAATTTATGCTCCAGTGGATGTGGTTGTTTATACCCAGCAAAAAGTACATTAGGGTCTTTAAGTAATTGGCTAAATTAATAAAAATAATACATTAGATGATGATAATCGGTAACTATGACCATTATTAAGTACTCACTTCCGGATCATATTTCCCAAAGTATGATCTTCTTTGTTTACTGTAAAAATTGCAGCATTTGTCACTTTGGTATCCACTTCCTTGACTATCCTAATATTCAAAAATCAATGTTAGTCGACTCTAGGAAACAAATTGACAAGGAGATAACTCAATGCAACTCACTTTTTTTCTCCATCATACAGCAAAAATGATTCAAACGTCGGTGGGGCATTCATGTTTTAAAATTAAGAGGAAATGGCTATTCAAACGTCCAAGTGTCTGACGTAAAAATATTTAATATTTTCAAGTCCAACACGTCCAGACTCCTGCTGGGTGCTGTACAAAACAATTAATATTTATTAATTAGAAATCAGCAATCAGCATTTCAGCAAACCGTTTGCTTTCGTTACTTTTTACCTCCACAAATAATATCTATTATTATTTTTGATAACGTTTTCATGATAAKATTATACCACTTTAGATTTTCGACGATAGTAAACGAAAAATGATAACAGTAGTTTAAAAAAGCCAAAAAGGTTCAATATATTTTTTGTTCTTGTATTCTTGTACTTAAATTTTTGTCATTTATGCGTCTTTTTAAAATAATAATGGGTTTGGGGTGATTGGCGATTACCTCTGAAAATCAGTAGTTTTAATGTCAACGTAATCGCTCCTCAATCAAATCATCTTTTTCCTAAAATCGCAATTAAAATTTGTGAAGATGGGCAACCAACTGGTGGGTATAGCGCCCTCGGAAATATTTCCAGTYGAACATTATCTGACCGATCACTCGCAACTGCAGTTTGATGCGAGGTAATTTTAATTTTAATGTGTTAATGTTTTGGTAAATATTGTTTTCTATTGTGTTTAACAGCTTGGGGAGTACCAGATTTTTTAAAGTAGCCCGTGCAAAGTCTCAAGAAGGAATGATTGTTGTCAAAGTGTTTGCGCTGCACGATCCAATGTTACCGTTGGTTAAACATCGTATGCACATTGAAGAGATAAAATCMAAACTACAGTCAGCTGTCAATTGCTTATGTTTTCAGAAAGTTGTTGTATGTTTACTAGATCTTAAGGGTTTTGATAGAGATAATTTGGATTCACTTGATAATTTTTTTTTAGATGACCGACAAAGCTGTTTTCTTGATGCGAGAATATGTCAAGTATAGTTTATATGATCGCATCAGCACTAGACCTTTCTTGACCATGATAGAGAAAAAATTTATCGCTTTTCAAATATTGTTTGCTTTACGACAATGTCATACATTAGGCGTATGTTTTTATCGTATCACTAATTAATGTAAATTATAATCTCAAAATGTTTGTACATTCAGGTATGCCACGGTGATATAAAGTTAGAAAATATCATGATTACATCTTGGAATTGGGTGTTACTTACAGATATTGCCTCATACAAACCTACATATCTGCCTGATGATAATCCTGCTGATTATTCATTCTTTTTTGATACTTCTCGAAGAAGGCTATGTTACATAGCTCCAGAACGGTAAATAATAATACTGATATAATGCCGTTTAAAAAGTGTTAAGACAACATTTAATTGAATTCTATAGTTTTGTGAAAACATCTGCGGAACTTAGCAATCAGTTGTTACCATCTGAAGATCATGTTAAAAAAGGAGAATTGACTCCAGCTATGGACATTTTCTCCACTGGGTATTTAAATATATACATATTTTTTTTTAAATAATATATAATGTCAATATTAATTTTAATTTTACAGATGTGCATTAGCAGAAATGTTCACAGATGGTCGTCCACCTTTTGATTTATCACAGCTGTTGGCATATAGAAATGGAGAGTATGATCCAAACATTCATGTTGATACTATTGACGATGAAGAAATTAGAGTATGTAAAACAAAACCAATCATAGTTGATAAACATTTGAAATATTATATTCAATTTGTCATTATAGGATCTCATTAAATCCATGATAAAATTAAATCCAGCAGATCGTTGTTCTGCAGAATTGTATTTGGACGAAGAAAAAAATAAAATTTTTCCAGATTACTTTTATTCTTTTCTTCAACCATATTTACAAATGTTTTCGGCTACAAATCCAATTATTTCACCCGACGAAAAAATTGATAGGTAAACAAGAAGAAAACATTAATATGTCTAAGTCTAAGTGATATTAAAATTATTCTAGTCCAATGTTATTTTTGTTATAGATTAAAAAGTGATATTAAYGGTATAATTAATATGTTGCTTCCATCTAATGATTCAGAAGAATGCACTGATGGTTTAGTGTTRATTGTTCAATTAGTTACTTCTTGTATTAGGTAATAACTTATAAAATATATTTATAATATAGGTAATGTTTAAAATTCATAATATTCGTTAATCAATGATTCATTTTATCAAATATATTTGTATTTCTTTTTTATTTGTAATATATGTGTTTTTCAGAGGTTTACATTTGTCTACRACCAAAATACAAGCTCTGGATGTTTTACTTGAATTATCAACGTATTGTTCGGCAGAAACAGTTTTAGACAGAATTGTACCTTATATTGTAAGTAAAGTTTTTTCATTTAAACATTTAAAAAAGATTTATTTTAAAACTAAATTTTTATTGTTATTAAAATTTAATAGCAGTTTTTATTCTAGTATTACTTATTTAAAATAACGAGATAATAAAATACAGTACATTATTAATGTCTCAAAATCTCAGGAAAATTATAAATAAACTCAATTTAATGAAGCTGAAATTTTTTAAGGTTTTCAAAAAAGGGTCATATTTTCACTTTAATTGTTTTCTTATTTATACATACCTATAGTAATTAAATTAAAGTAATGAACTTAWATATTTTGTAAAAGTTTCATATGATTCAAGATGTTTCTCCTGGTGTAAGAAAATCTGCATTACATGGTTTAAATAATACACTTTCAACTGTTAAAAATTTGAAGCCTAGTGATGCAAACACATTTCCTGAGTATATTTTTCCAGGTTTAATAAATGTAAGTTTCAAATTTATTTTTAACTAAAAAAAAAATGTTTTGGTTAGCAAAATTGATTTCTTTAGGTGGCTCATGATGATGCAGTTATTGTAAGAACAACTTTTGCTCAGATTATTTCACAATTAGCACAAACTGGTTTAAGGTTTTTGAAGTGTTGTCAGAATGTGCAAGATGATGAACCAACTTCAAGTGCTTTTGAAACCGAACTTGCTACACTGCAAGAAATGGTACAACAATCGGTATCATCACTTCTCACTGATTCTCACAATATTGTAAAGCAAACTCTAGTGAATAGTAACATAATTGAGCTATGCGAGTTTTTTGGAACCCAAAGAGGTATATTTCTGTTACACATTTTATGTTATTATTCATACTACATTTGTATTTATTAATTTTTTTTTTATTCAGCTAATGATGTACTTTTATCTCATATGGTAACATTCTTGAATGACAAAACTGATAAACATTTACGTGCATCATTTTTTGATAATTTTGTCAATGTTGTTGCATTTGTTGACCAACAGTGTTCACCTATACTATGTCCACTTTTGCAACAAGTAAATTTACTGTAATGTGTAATAATAGATATAGTAGGTATTATATTATTGTATTAATAATTTCTAGGGGTTTACAGACAGTGAAGAGTTTGTAGCGAAAAAAGCACTTAATGCAATGCAACAGYTGATTGAAAAACGCCTGCTTCAAAAAACTGCTCTTTACCAATTAATTAGGGATGTYTCTTGTTTTCTCATACATCCAAATTTATGGATAAGACAGGTATATTCAAATGTTTATTTAATCTATTGTGTGTATAAGCATCACTCAATTCCAAAACTCGCTAGAATATTTGGTTTGTATGTTAATATTTTTTATTTGTTTTAGGCTACTGTAGGTTGTTTTAGTGCTACAGCACGGATGTTGGATGATGTAGATGTTCAGTGCAAAATATTRCCCGTRATGAAACCTTATTTAAAGCATTCAGTTCTATTAGTAGATAGAGAAGAATTAGTATTGAATACTTTAAAAGACCCTTTACCACGAAATATTTATGATACAGTTGTTAAGTGTTCAATTGTTGAAACATTAGTGGATATATTGGGTGAACGTAAAAAAGCCAGAACCATAGCTAACACTGGTCATATACCTTTAACAAGTGTTACACAATCAATGCATCAAAACAGTGCATTAAGAAATGTAAAATATAAATTGTTCATTGTTATTAATTAGTTATTTTATATTTTAATTTTATTATATACATTTTAGTTGGTTAGAAAACTGGAGTCTGAAGGGATGACTGAAATAGTAGAAGATCAATTGTTGGCACTATCTAAACATATATTGAAAGTGCACAAGCAATTGGCATTTGACAACAAATATAATTCTAAAGGAAAAGTAAATAATTTAACAAACTTACCTTTGTTTTTATTTTGTAYATTTCAACCCAATTTTTATTAGATAAATATTGGAGACACAAAACTCAAYGTTCATTGCTATTCTGTACCTCTGGCTCGATCACAACATTCAAAACTGCAAGATCCTATATCATTAGCAAATAGACGAAAAGGTTTAGATGATCAGTCAGTTTCTAATATGAACGATGAGTGGAAATGTATGTTTGGTGGTACAGAGTTGTCGTCTTCTAAGCAAATGCATTCTTCTCGAAATCCGTAATAGACAGTTTTAAYCTTTTAAAAAATTACATTTACTTTATTAGTATTTTTTGTATTTAGGTCACCTATTGGTGGTTCTTACTCATCTGATGTTCAACCATCTCCATCTCATAGTATTGAAGGGCCTACTGATATGTCATATATACACTGTTAGCATTACAATAAGTAAGAAAAATAGAAATTTAGAATTTTCAATGCTATATTTTTGTTGGTAGACCGTTATGCACCATGCAAACTAGAATTACGTAAACTGATATCCCATCGTCAAGAGTGTCATGAAATGACAATGAGACGTCATGAATGGGCTGAACAAGAAGTGTGGAAACCTAGACTACCCCCACCTGGTTGGAGACTCCGTTCTCAGCTGGTAGCTCATTTGCATGAACATAAGTCTGGAGTGAACAGGTTATATAATAGCAATTAAACTAATGTCTTAAAAAAAATATTTAGTCAAAGTTAATTCCTATTTAAATTTAGATGTTTGATCAAATATTGTAAATTGATTTTTCTCGATGAATCACTTAATATTTTACTCCCAGGTTGGTGACAATTCCAAATACATCAATGTTTGCAAGTTGTTCATCTGACAGTTGTGTACGGGTATGGGACTGTGTGAAAATGGAAGGTAAGAACATTGCTAATCGGTCAAAACAAGTATATAATCATCAAAACGGAGCGTTATATGGTATGACGACATGTAGAAACAATCAGTCATTAGCTACTGTTAGCCATTCAGGCTCAGTAGTTGTATTGAAG